AAACTTCATTAAAGTTCTAATCTTTTAATGATACACAATATTTTGGGTAGCATGTAAACATTATTTTTTGATATGCTAAATTTTCTTCTATTGTTCCTAAATGACTATCTTTTAAATTTATTATTATTCCATCGTGTAAGGTTATAGTTAAGGGTGAGTCTATCCCTTCCCTCAATAATGATTTAAACATTATTTGTATTTCTACTAAATAAACATACTGAATTTTTTTACTTTGTATTTATTAATTTCTGTTAATAGTTTATCAACTGTATTTTTTGTTAAAAGATTAAATTTATGATTTTCATAAGTTGTTCTTACATCTATAGTTTTTTCAATTTTATGATATTGATTTATTGCTATCATTTCTCTTTTCCAAATTCTATCTAAGACTTTTTATTTTCCTATTTTTAAGTCCAAAGATAATTTTTGCATTTTCCTAAATTTATTATTATCGAAAGTGACTTTTAATCCATAACATTCTATTTCTTCATATTCTTGGATACTTATATTATTAGTTTCTATTTCCTCTCTTTCTTTATTCAGATCCTGATTCATCACTCTTTGTTTCACTTATATATACTTTTTTATTATAATATTGTTCAATATCTGATATTTCTCTTAATTCATCTTTTATTTCTTAATATTCTCTTTGTAATATTTTAACTTTTATTTTATTACAATCGGAACTTATGTGACCTATTTCCCCACAATTCCAATTTTTATATTGACTTTTATTTTTTTTATAATTTTTATTTTTCTGTTGACCATATGGGATATTTTTTTCTTTTGTAATATCTTCTTCCATGTTTTATATATTTTCTATTAAAATTTCTAAATTTTTTAAACTTTTTATTTTTATATTTTCTTTTGTTAACACTTCTTTCAGGATTACATCCCCATTATATAGGGTTTTCTATATCTTCACAACATATTCTAGTTAATTTTCCTGATTTTTTCAATAATTATCTTTGCTGACATATATATGCAAGTCTTTCAAATAAAAATTTTATTCTTGAACCTAAAGTTCTAGGTATTCCAACATTATCTCTAACATATTTTTCAAATTCTATTTTGAAATATATTCCACATAAATCTGGTAATTTATTATAGTACATATTTTGGTATACTTCTTGATTTTCATTACTATAAAATTGAACATAATAATAATTTCTAAATTCACAAGTATATTATTTAATTTTACACATATCACATATTGTTTAATCTATTAATTTAATCCTAGCATTGTCTTTTTTCTCTTATTGCTTCTCCTTCAACATTTCTTATCCATTTTTCTCCTAAAATTTCATTAGAAATATATTCTACTAATTTTTCTATACTTTGTCTATCTGATTTTATTATTTCTATTTGTACATTTTTTTTATTAATGTCTTTGTATCATTACTTATTCCTTCCCACCAATTTCTAACATTTCTTTCAAATGATGTTATTAAAAAATCTATCATTCTTTCAGTATTTTTCCATGTGTCATCTTTATTATATAAAAAGAATAATATCATTGAATCTGCCCAAGTTAATAATTTTTTTTAGTATCTATTTTACAATTTAAATCTAAGTTTGTTCCTCCATTGTTAATAGGTTTATCATAATTATCATTTAATTTAAATCTATTTATATATTTATTTCCTTTAGGTGGTTGTCTATCTTTTACTTTATCATAAAATTATCTATATTGTTTGTTATTTATGTGCATAACTTTCATCTGATTCATGTAATTCTTGTTTAGAGGTTCCCATTGAATTTGATTATCTTCCAGTATTCATTAAAACTTGGTATTCACTTATATCACTTAAACTTAATTGATCAAAATTTTCTATAAGTAAGCCTAATTCCTCATTCATCTTTATTTTCTTGATTTTCTTCTATTTTTAATTTTTCTAATATTTTTTTCTCTAGATTCTTCTTCTTCTTCTAATATTTTAAGTAAGCCTAATTCCTCATTCATTTTTACTTTCTTGATTTTCTTCTATTTTTAATTTTTCTAATATTTTTTCTCTAGATCCTTCTTCTTCTTCTTCTTTTAATATTTTAGGTAATATATTTTTTCTAAATTCATCATCCATACTTCCTCTTCCTTCTTTTAATTTATAATAATTATCTATTTTTCTTATTTTAATTTCCATGATCTCTATGACTTTTTAAAGATGTGTAGTCTAAATATTCTTTTAAATGTCTAACACTTAATCTATTATTTATTAAACTTAAATAAAATCTAAGTGTTAATTTGTCTATAAAGATTTTTACCTCTTTTTGTAATTTATTTGTTATGAGTTTTCTCATAGATCTCTATGGTTCTGATACCAATAAGGAGGTGCTACTTTTCAGCGAAAAAAAATCAAATAAATCAGTAAACAATAAATCTAACAATAAATCTATCAAAATTCAAGCAATGTTTAATTTTTAAGGACTAAAATGAAATATTTTCTATATTATATTAACTTGTTATGCAATATTTAAAAAGACGGTATTTTGTTATTTCCATGTATTTACCTTTTACATGTCGCGTTTATCCATTTCGTTTCCGTGCAACTCTTGGAAGCCTCGACTGTTCACAAAGGTTGCCAAGTCAAACACGGAGCTGCTAATTAAGACTTGTTTGAGACCCAGAAAGATGGGCCTCTGTCACCAGTCGAGAGAGGGAGAGATGGCGAAGAGTGAGATAGTAATGGCAGCTGAGAAATTGGTGGAATCGGAGATGAAAGGGAACGATGCATCCCACGATGCTGCCCACGCGTTCAGAGTGAGAGACTTGGCTCTCTCTCTTGCCCTTGAGGAGGGCTTCTCCTCTTCCTCCGATTCTATGCTCATTGTACGCCACTGTTTGACTTTTCCCTTTTTAGTAATTTGCTTTTTATTTTTCATATAGATACTGAATGCTGAATACTGATGTCGATATATACCTTTCTGATATGAAATCAGTTTTTAGAAAGTTTTTCTGGATAAAAAAAGGGAAAAGATGTAAAATTTACTATTTTTGCAGCATGGTTTTGGCTTCATTTTGATGTTGTAACGCCCCAAAGTGCCGTCTCTGAAGCAGAATGAACAACACCTTCAGCACTGTGTTTCCTTCTTTGCCTTTTGTATATTGCATTGGACTGGCAATAATTAGTTATACGTTAATCCGAAGATTTTCATTTATACTTGTTGCCTGTGATTCTATAGACGTATTAACTATTATCAGTTTTGGTTTTAGTCATAATTTTGTATACAATCACATAACATGGAGTTTTTGAATGAATCAAGCACCAGTGCAATGAGAAATTTATTCATTTACTTTAAAAAAGGTTTTCATATGCAATGGCCTACTCGCTTATGTATGTGTACTATAGTGCTCTTTATGTCATAGAAGAAGATATTGTGGATTTACCATTCTTCCTGTCTTTATAATGTATGAATTGAAATCTTATCTTCTTTGTCAGGTGGAGTTAGCTGCTCTTCTACATGACATCGGTATGCTTTGCATGGTGTTTAGATTTCATAGTAAAGGAATTCATTTTTTATGTGATTTTAGTACGTTTTGGAGGATATATTGTTGTATATTTGAGGTCATTGTTTTGATTAATGTAGCGAGAAGGATGATACGAAGATTTAAATTGTTAGTTAACTCAAGTGTGAAAAAGGAAGGTGAAGAAGCAGATGGGAATGACTTATAGGGATTAGGAATTTTTTTTGGATGAAATATGTTTTAGAACAAAGTGATTCCAGGTCCTATAGAGAATTGATGGGTGCTAACCACAGTACTATTTCTCCCATGGAACAAACTCCACCCTTGCATT